ACTCTCTGCGGTGCATGCCACAAATCTGAGATGAATTGCTCGACGGCACAGTGGTTTGGCCACAATTCGTCACTGGAAATGTCGAAATATCAGGCTGGCTTTTGGCGTCCCATCGACACCAGCTTCAATTTCTTTTTTATTTTTTTTATTTCTTACTCGTAGAACCTTACTTTTCCGACAGGAAAACAACATCTTACCACTCGACTGGCTCTAGAATGGTATTAATATTCCGCATATATTTGCCACTTCCGCCCGTGGAAAACTTCATTTGAATTACGATTTCCCCATTGGCAACTGCAAATGCAACTGTGGCACCTTGTAGCGTTGCAACTGCGCTGAAATTGCATATATTTTCTATAAATTATATTGCGCAGCCAACGCAAACTAGGCTAAGAAAATGTTTCGACAAAGTTTGCATTTTCCCTCATAAATTTACAGCCCCGCCTGTCGTCGTTTCGGGCTAAATGAAATTGCACAGATTTGCACACAGGCCTTTGCAAAGGTTTGCTCACTTTAATATTTATGAAAACAAAGGGCGTGTCACCTACGCCCCCGTGTGTATTGTGTGTGTGTGTGTGTGTGTGTGTGTCATCCATTTATGCATGTGTTGTACATATTTGATGGATGTCAGAAGATGACGAGAATCGAGTCGGGGCTGCCTTAAGTGCCCCTCATCACGTTTTATGTGGACGTCTTTTTATGTGTTCTGGAAGACCAATCCTCGGAAAAGCACCAGGCCAGGGTAATTTCCACGTTACAGGAAATTAACACAAGTAAAAATCGGCAATAAGAGGGAGTCAGCTCGAAACCGAGCTACAGGCCGTTTGCGTCACCAATAAATGTTCAAATGAGCAAAGTTATTTACAGTCGTTGCCGAGCAGGAGCCACACAATTGTAGATCGTAAAACAGCTTAAATGATTGCCGGAATTGCCGAAGGGGTGAAAAAAGGAGGACTGTGTTAAGCCCTTTACTGCGTAGGCTGTCCAAAAATTCATCGTAAATAAGTGGGCAGAAATTCTATGGAAATTACGAGCTCCCCACTCGTTCGAGGGTCGATTCAACTCTTTTGGCAACCCTCTCGCAAAGTACGCGATTTCTTTCTGTTTGCTCTCGTTGACGCTCGGCAATTACCGCCAAATGAGTCCGAAAAATAAATTCACATTAATTGTTCTTCTTGTTGTCCTTGTTGTTTGGCTATTTGTTTTAAAGTTTCGCCGCATCATGCCCGACAGCATTTAATTGCCAGTCCACGCGGCACTCGGTGCTTCATCGCCTGGCAGAATTTAACGGCTGAAATGATGGTCTAATGGTTGCCCAGCAGCGAAGGAAGCCAAGTTGGAAGCTGGACTTACCGGATTGATGTTGACGGATGGGTTATGAAGGCCTTAAATGTACATATTATAAGCCAGTGTTTCATGCACGCCACAGAAATGCCATATCGCTGTTATTTAAAGTCACATTTATTTATTTTAAAAAGTTGCATTTATTTGAGAGATTTATAAGCTAACTCGCTTAATTAAGTTCTCCCCAAAACACAATCAAGCTTTTAAACATTTTAGTAGAGTGCAAAATTGTAGATTTAGTGTGCAGCATATTAAATTATCTGCACATTAAACATTGAAACATTTTTAAATTATATATGGTGTTTGTTTTTTCAATTTTTCAAGCTAAAGCTCAGAATTTAATTTTATTAAGTGGTACTCGTGACCAACTAGGTTTTTTACAGCCTTAGATCTTTTTGAGTGAATTTCGTGGCTATTTCAACGTGCCTTCTCGATCTTCTACGAACCATTTAAAATGTACCAAGCCGATTTCAGGCTGTGTCCCACCAATCTCAGAGCCATTCCCAGCCACCATTCCGTGCCGGGTACCCAAATGGCAACAGGAACATTTGCGCGGCTTGTTGATTGTCGCGACACATTGCCCGAAAACGTGAGCCGACTGCCAGGCAGGAAGTGGCAAAAGCTGCTAAGGAAACAGGAAACCGAATTCGGGGGGTCTGTGCCTTCTACCTCCATAGAAGTAGAGTGAATCACAGAGTCCTAGTCCCCGGAGCTCAGAGGTGGCTGCATTTAAGTATTTCACTTACAGCTTTTATGGCAATTGGCGTGAAAATTGTAAAAATGCATTTTGCTGCCTCATTTTTCTTTCAGATTCTCCTCGCTCCACCACTGCTGTTGTTTTGCCAGTTGACTAAATTGAGTTTCAATTGCCGACACATGGCCAGCCTGCACGTGGGGAATTCTCTCAATTGTTTTCTGTTTTGGGACACGACGGCTGGCTTTGCCATTATTTATGTATGGCCAGCTGCATGGGCCAGGACACGATCTAAATAATTGAGCAAACAGTGCTCTAGTGCTCTATTCCTGGCCATTTGTTGAATCCTTCTCGGTTCGAGCAAATTGCCCGGCTCTAAAATGAGGACAATGACGTCGCCTTGAATGTCTTCGCAAAAGTTCTCTGACAGCCAGAGAACGAGTCAAAATAACGCCTAATTCTATTTAATTAATGGCAATGCCACTTATTCACATATAAGGCATTGCTGAAAGCTCAGAAAACCCGACTAATTCAGAAAACCCGACTAATTCAATTTAACATAGGTATTTATGAAGAATCTTAATGGTATTAGTTTATTAGTGCGAGGAAGAATTGCCCGAAGTCGAAACAACTTGGAAAGCCATTCCTATTTTAATTGCTATTGCAAAGTTTTTAGTGCTATTTAATGTGATTCTAAAGACAATTCACAGAGAAAATATTAACAAACAGTTTACTTAAAGTACAAGGATTTAATTAATATTAACCATTTGGTATTTAACGATTTTTAATATCGAGAAAAAGGACAGCGACTATATTGAGTAGTAAGCAATCTTTCGAGCTACTGAATCACTGGTAGATAAAAACTATTATTATGTCTGAATTTTTGAATTTTCAATAACTTGAACCATATTAAAAATTATTATATAGAACTATATAAGGTATACAATACAGTTGCTAAACTGAATAATATTTCTTATCATGACTTATGTTATTTATTTAAAAACATTCAGATATGACCCAGATTTGAATTTAAACAACCATTTAAAACATTCTTTGAACTGGCTATCGATTGTAGAGAAATTAAATGTTTTTCGTTAAATGTATTTCATATTTTATGAAATGTTAAAAATTTTTCAATAATAATGTTTATAATACATAAATTTGTTTGTGGACTTAAGCGCACTTTACTGCACTGGCTGTGCTTAGAAACGGCTTCTGTTTTGGACCTCCTTGCATGGCAACCCTTACTTCATAACGGCCAACGCTGCGTATGCGCATTTTCCTGGCACATGCACTGGCACATTTATGACACCAAAGCAGACCAAATAAAACAACGGAAGGCCATCAAACAAATGACTGCAAGAAAATGATTAACTCTCCAGAGCACACACAGCGCCAATGCCCCTCGAATTTTCCTATTTTCCTATCGCCCATTTCCCCGCACAGTACCGACACGCACCAGATGCCATCTGGAAAATGGAGGAAATCGGGGGAGGAGGTGTTGGCCAAGCCACGCAACAACTTTTTGCTGTCATTTCGAGTATATTTTTCATTTTTATGACGAAGAGATGAGTATTGTGCACTGGACTGGCCATCCATTCATTCCATCTGGCCAGCCAGCGTGCTGAGTCTGCTCCCATCTGGGAGACAGAGATTAATGAGAGGCCCCGCGTTTTGTTAATTTTGACAACTTCTGCGCTGACTCCGAGTGGCAGTGGTAGTGGCAGTGGCGAGGGCATTGAGTTGTACCCGGCGGCGGATCGGAATGGGGGCGTGGCAGCTAAGCAAAATTTAATTGCCCAACCTCCCAGCTCCCAACTCATTCCAATTATGCTCGACGGCATTCCGCCTTTTGCCACTGTGTTACTGTGGTTCATTAAACTTTTCAGTTTCATTTGTCATCCGAGAAGAGCTGGCTGGAGCATGCCAACAATTGAAATGTATTTGTCAGATAAAACTTTTGTGATGGCCGCGCTTCTAATTTAGTTGCAGATTACTCAAAGGTGGCAAATGACACAAACTTCAAGCGCCATCAAATCTGTCAAAATGTCAGGCGAACGAGTTGCCGCAAGGGATGGATGAATGGGAAAAGCTAAAGCTTTAAAGTGCTAATTGTATCGTAAAAGGTTCTCGGACGCCTTGATTTGGGTTGGAAAGGAAGCAGCTTGGTCTGAGGTAGGCACTTTACCTTACTTTTATATTTCTTTACCCCTCGTGTCTTGGTTACTAACTGGCTCTCCCTTAAATCGATTAGGTTGATTAGTTATTTTCTTTGTTCTTTGCATTTACCGTCTCATTAATATTTTCTTTCACTATTCTAATTTACCCATTTCTTCCATCGGTATTTTATTCGATTTAAATTATTTATATTCTTTTGCTACAATTACACACTTATATTTAAAATAAAAAAACTGAATTTATTAACATAAGATAAGAGGAAGTTACTTATTGTTGTTTTTTCTTTGCTTGATAAGTCGTAATTTAAATTAAATAATTTCAGCGTAACTGCATGGACCCAACTATTTGGAATTTGGTTCTTATATTAATCTCACGATCTAAGAAATAAGAAGAAATTCCTTTGCTACAAGTACACACTTATATTTATTACGCAAGTTCATTTGATAAACTTTTAGCCTAAATTCTTAAACTTATTGAAAGCTTAACCTATAGCTTAACCAAACTATATAAAATAAATTACCTGAATTTATTAACTTAATATTAATAATATTAATTGAAATCAACAAATTCTTGTTGTTTTTCGTACATGCCATTAACTTATATTTTGATTGGTTGATTTGATTGCTAGACTTAGGAGATTGTTGTTTTTTAGTTCTACTAAAAGTGTGACTACGTGTGACTGTGTGCCTACGAAATTGTTATCACCTAAAACAAGCTTGGGCGTCATGGTTGAACCCTAAGCTATCAGTTGGCTATATAATTGTGTGTTTCTGGCGCGGAAGCATCAGTTTTTCGACGACAATGGAGAGAATAGTGTGGACCTGCTGTCTGCTACTTTTGCTTGGCTTTGCGGCTGGATTCAGAACAATTAGATCCGTAAATTCCACCTCCGATGACCGGATCCTAAGCTACATAAAACAGCACATCGACGAAAGTGCCGATCCCTGCGAGGATTTCCAGAACTATGCCACTGGCAAGTTTCTAGAGGTACACCAGAAGGAAGATTGTAATTCCACCCAAGATTCCATCAGGAAAAAATACAATGGTAAGCTGCAGTCTGTGTTCAACCTGCTGAAGGACCGAGTCTTCATCGACGAATTCTCCGTGGAGGAGAAAGTGTGGCGCTACTACAACACCTGTCTCACGGCCCCCAAGAGCACTCGCTCGGCAAGGCACTACTTGGAATTGCTTCCTCCGGGATATAATTTACCCTGGCCGCCACTCGTTCCCCAAGGAAGTCAGTGGCCAAAGCAAGAGTTCCGGTGGCTGGAGACCTTGGCCATCTTGCGACGCTTTGGAGAGGAGAACCCTCTGATCATCTTGGACATACAGCAAAACTTTTGGGAAAGTCATAAATTCTCTTTACGTTTTAACATGCCGCAGCTACTCAAGTTAGATAATGTAACCGAAATCCAGGATCTCTTGATCAGAACCGGAGTGAACTCAAGAAGGGCTGCTCCTCTGGCAAGGAGCATAATACAACTGGACTCTGATGCTCATAACCTGAGCAAAATAGGAGAGCGTTTGGCAGTTACATACATCCTTGAAGACGTTCAGAATCGGACGAATCTACAGCTGGACAAGTACCTGGAGATGGTCTTTGGCCGCTCCTTTGAGCCCAGTACCGAAGTGCTGGTGGACAATATGGAATACCTGGAGGGTATCAACGGGGTCGTAAGCAAGTACGACTCTGAGGTGGTGGCCAGTTACCTGATGATTCAGTTTCTTCGCTTTGTATTTTACTTGGATGACAGTGATTCAGAGAGCGATACCGCCAAATGCGCCGCTGTCGTCTCATCTCAAATGGAGTTGGCCAGCGATCTGCTGTACGAGAACTATTACCTGGGAGAGGGAAAGCTGCAGAAGTACACCAAAGAAGTTCAGCGGATCTTTGAAGCTGTGTCTCAAACTTTTATGGCCAGGTTGGAAAAGAACCGCTTGCACTTGACCGATGGCGAAGTCTCTTATCTGCAGCAGAAACTGCTCGCCATGAGGCTCAAAGTGGGGAAACTGCCCGATAACGCCAACCATCGTCGTTTCGCCACCAAATTCTACGAAGATTTGGAACTGCATCCCTTTGGTGATTTCGCTGAGGCTCGGCTTAACGTCCTCAGGCACAGAACAAGTCAATACCTAGACCAATTGGATTGGGCTGTTCCCAAGGGAACCGATTTCTATCTGCTCACCGGTTACATGCCAGAAAACGATCCCAAGCCAGTCTTCTTCGAATTGCACAACACCATTCTCTTGCCATATGATATGCTGCAGGAGCCATTCTTTTCGCCTGAAACTAGTGACGTGTTCAAAATGAGCCAGCTGGGATTTTCCCTGGCTCGCTCAATGATGGAGAGCTTCTGGCCCTTCGGCCTGCGCTATGACAGCCTTGGAAACCTCGGAGATAATCTTTTGTCTTTCAAGGAGAAGCAAGGCTATATAGATGGTCTCGCATGCCTGAACTTTACTACCCGTTCGAAGGATCTCCTTAAACGTTCGGCCGATGTGGTGAGCCTAGGACTGGTGTACGATACTTTCTTTGGAGACAATTCTAAGTTCAACCAGGATCAGCCCGCATTTACCGAGCTGCCGCTGAAGAAGTTGTTTCTGCTGAGCTTCGCCCAGATGTTCGCGGGCAATCAGGAGTATAAGGATTTCGAGGAAATGGACTCTGACAAGTTGCGCCTCAGTGAGGCATTGAGCAATCTACCAGCTTTTGGGGAAATTTTCAACTGCCCAGACTCAGCGCCTTTGAATCGGCCGAAAAAGTGCGAAATTTGGTAGATATTTTTATACCCTTGCAGAGGGTATTATAATTTTGGTCAAAAGTGTGCAACGCAGTGAAGGAGACATCTCCGACCCTATAAAGTATATATATTCTTGATCAGGATCACCTCCTGAGTTGATATAGCCATGTCCGTCTGTCCGTCTGTCCGTCTGTCCGTCTGTCTGTCCGTCTGTCCGTCTGTCTGTTTCTACGCAAACTAGTCTCTCAGTTTTAAAGCTATCGAATTGAAACTTTGCACACACCCTTCTTTCCTTTGCACGCAGTATATAAGTCGGAACGGCCGGGATCGGCCGACTATATCCTATAGCTGCCATATAACTGAACGATCGGAAATGCCATAACTTTGGTGTTTTTAAAGTTAGGAAGTTGGGATTTTCTATGGGTTTTACATTTGGCCAATCAATTTGACGTACCAAATTTTATAAGGATCGGCCGACTATATAGTATAGCTGCCATATAACTGAACGATCGGAAATGCCACAACTTTGGTGTTTGTAAAGTTAGGAAGTTGGGATTTTCTATGTGTTTTGTATTTGGCCATTCAATTTGACGTACCAAATTTTATAAAGATCGGCCGACTATATCCTATAGCTTCCATATAACTGAACGATTGAAAATGATATAACTTTGGTGTTTTTAAAGTTAGGAAGTTGGGATTTTCTATGGGTTTTATTTTTGGCCAATCAATCCGACCTACCAAACTTCATAAGGATCGACCGACTATATCCTATAGCTGCCATATAACTGATTGATCGGAAATGCCATAACTTTGGTGTTTATACCCGTTACTCGTAGAGTAAAAGGGTATATTGTATTCGTGCAAAAGTATGTAACAGCTAAAAGGAAGCGTTTCCGACCCTATAAAGTATATATATTCTTGATCAGGGTCACTAGCCGAGTCGATATAGCCATGTCCGTCTGTCCGTCTGTCCGTCTGTCCGTCTGTCTGTCCGTCTGTCTGTCTGTCCGTATGAACGCTGAGATCTCGGAAACTATAAAAGCTAGAAGATTGGCATTTTGCATGCAGATTCTAGGAGTTCCTACGCAGCGCAAGTTTGTTTCAAAAAGGTGCCACGCCCCCTTAAACGCCCACAATCGCTTATATACGATTTTAAAAATTTAAATATTTCGGAAAAGTAAAAATGCAGTTTTATTGTGTTTATCAATACCTATCGAAATGTAGAAGAAATTTTTCAAATCGGACCATTCGTTAAAAAGTTATGCGTGATCAAAGTTTCTATCTCCATCTCTCTCGCACTCCCTTTACCTGAGTAACGGGTATCTGATAGTCGGGGCACCCGACTATAGCGTTCTCTCTTGTTTTAAAGTTACGAGGTTGGGATTTTTTATGAGTATTAAGAATGCATCATATGAATAATTTTGGAAAATATAATTTACAGAGTATTCTGCAAGGGTATATCAACTTCGGCTCCGCCCGAAGTTAGCTTTCCTTTCTTGTTTCTTATCAATATTTGTTTCCTATCAAAATAATTTTTAAATAATTTTTTTTAATAAAGCTTTAAATAAATAACATTTCCTCTTTTTTCAAATAAATACTGAAATTCTCATATAGTCACAATACGTGTTCGTTATTTAAAGTATTAAAGGTCAGCCGGGTACTTTTCTATCAATATATGAGACGCCAAAATACTAGCCGATGTAAAGAGTGAACTATGAATTTGTTTTTGAATAGATTATTTGGGCTTGCCGCCCTAATTGTTGCCAACCAAAACATAAACGAATTGAACTTGACATTGTGGTGTCAAATAAGAGCCTTAATAGAAGCGATAATCGCTTTTTGAAAAATAGAACAAGTTGGTGCAGTAATGAGAGGCAGGCGAAATGATTATAATTATATTATTTAGGAATTATTCGAATATAAGCAGCATTTAATCTCGCCTTAAGGCTGGAAAGTGCAATCCCAATTGTTTCAGTTATTTTCCCTTCCCTCTGGTATTTTTACTGGCACTATTATTATCATCCTGCTGGTGCCGTTTAATTTGTTGTTTCTTGCTGTTCGCACCTCATTACCATGGCAATGCCAATTACCAACACTGAAATGCGATTCCGAGTACAGAGTGCAGAGTACGGAGTACGGAGTATACCGGACCCCACGGGAGTATCAGCATATTAACTGGCACTTCTTAATTAAATTGATTCTCGGTCGCTCGAATCACTTTAATTCTCAACCTCAACTTTAACCTCACTCCCTAGCTCTTTCAGTTTTCATTACTTGTACGCTTTTATGGATTTTAATTAAAGTTTATTATGCCCACGTCCTCACATCCGATCACAATGGGAAGCTGGAAGCTTCAAGTGGGTTAACTGGTAAAAAATAAAATAATAGCAGCAGGAGCTGAACCAGAACAGGAATAACTATTGTCCCGGAAATGCAAAGTTGGCGATTTCACCACCCCCGCCATCGCCCAGAGTGACGAGTGCGAAAAGCGCTGCCCAAGTTGAACTTTTGTTAATGAAAATAATGCAATTACTGCCCCGAAATGGGGGTAACTGGGTAAGGATTTGGGAATGGACCGCAATTGCAGCTCATGTGTGAACGTGTTTGTGGTTTAACCCCGCTGACTGCCCCAAGGGAAAAGGGCAGCACTCCAAAAAGAAATAAAAGAGGAACTTTTCAACTTGTCTGCCCGTCTTTCTCGGCTCAACCAATCCATTCTCATTCTGCAGCCCGACGATGTTTGTTTAATGCAATTAAGCGAGGCGGAAGTAATTCTGCTTGAGCTGCCTCCTGACTGACTGGCAGGATAGTTAGGTTTTTCTTTCAACTGCGGTTTTAGCGGGAAAAGTGGTCGATTTCCATGAATCATCGCATAGAAAAATCATTTTATAGCAAAAGGGCACTGATAAAAATGTTGCTTACAATATGAAATAGGTAACATCTAATCTATCAGATATTAATTCGAAAATAACTTTCAAGAAATATGTTCAATAAATTAAGAATTGAAATATAAACATTTATGGTGTACTCGCACACAAAACCGATATGCAGAGTGTACTCTCTAAATTGTTCTCTAATTAATCAAAATTCTTACGAATAACAAAGGTGAGTAAAAGTGACACATATCTGCGGTTATTTGAAGGGCAACTATTTTCTTCAATGGAGAAATAACTCGCAATAAAACATCATTTATTTTAAATTAGTTAAATATTGATCTGATTTTGAGTAGGATTACTTTTAACCTCTTGGCTTTTCAGTCTATAAGAGTTATAGTGGAAAGGCGGAAAAAGTTGAGCCTTTGCCCTTTGCAAACAATTCTTCATTTCTCACTCCTTTATTTATTTAACTGTGCTCAAGTTTTAATTTCTTTTTTTCTTCGGCTCAACATTGTTTCCGCTCTTCAACCCACTAAGCCCACCGCCCACTTGCCTCAAGTTGCTGTTGCGGTTTTGTTGCCACTTCCTTTTGTTTTTTCTTATGGCGGCGCATGTTAAAGTGGAACTGCAGCTGGAGATGAGGCCCCGATTTCCCAGCCCCGCCCGTGGAATTTGATTACCGCCTTCATAATTACTGTCACGCTGTTTCGGTTGCCGCCTGGCTTTGGCCTTTTGCCATGGCCCTCCTTGACATGTGGCAAGCTGCCGGCTCCGGGCCAGATTGCACTTGGTTGCAGCCAAGTGCAAAAAGTTGTCCGCATGGCAAACAAATAAACAAACAAATGGAGCGGAAACGGGAAATGACAGTCGAGAGGCAGTGAAAAAGTAAAGCGTCAACTACGGCCATATGTTAACAAAGTTTATGCAACTTTGTTGCAGCCACCAGCAGTTGCACTTAAAAGCAGAAGCAGGACCTGCCCGAAGGTGGAGATTTCAACTGGGGAGTAGATGGATCCCATTCAGTCCGTAAGCCCTCGATAAACTATGTGATTAACCGACACCTCTTTTGAGGGGCAACATTATACCTTTTCAGGTTATTTTGCCTTCCCTCAACTCATAATTTAAATGGGCAAACCAAGCAATAATCCTTAATTGCTCATTTTGCTTAAGCATCTACTTTAGCCGTCTCCTGGTCGCTCTTGCCATTTAAAATGCCCAGTGCAAACAAAGTTTTCGAGGGGAAAGGCGTGTGAAACTTACTTAGCCCTTACTGCCTTCCTCGTCGGCCAGGTTTTCCATTATGCATGTGCCTGGTACACACAATTTTAGGCCTTTCAGCGGCCACCGCATGTGTATTTACTTTGCCTACATCCAACCGAAGAGGCAGGGCTTGGATGAAAAAGGAGGGAAAACTAAGGACACTGGGGGTGGCAAAGGAGGCACTGCTGCAGGGAAAGGAAACTCTGCACAAAAGACGACAACGATGTCGACGGTCGACGGATGTTCACTTGCGATTCACGTGCAACGTGGCGTATGCAAAATATTTGCATTGATAAACAGCCACGGCGAATACGTGTGTGTATGAGTGTGTGTGTGGGTGTGTGAGTGTGGGTTAGTCGGTGTAAATGTGTGCCTGGAGCTATTACCTTTTCATGGAAATACTCATAGTGGTTACTTGGTGAGTGGAAATTTCTAAACTCAAAACTACAGCTCATCATCGTCATTAAATAAATAATATTAATTAGGTATAGCCTTGGAATAAAACCTACATTCTTGTTGGTTATTGCACAACGAATTAATCTCGCTTAGAAACTGATGATTGAGAAAACAATAAGCACTCTTTAAGAAAAATGAGAATTTTATTTATTAAAGAGTGTAATTTAAGTGCTGTTAGTTTAATTAAGGTTTTCCTTTACATAAACTTAAAGATTGCAATGCTTAATAGTAGGTAAATTATTGATTTCCAGGAATGACATTTATCAATCAATGGCCAATTCAAAGCCCTTACTTGTCATTCAAATATTTCCTCAATTTAAAAGAAACTGCAGTGTTGTAAATCATGTTAAATTTTCTTTAGGTAATAAAAACAACAAAAAAGCACCGACCTTAGACTAAAGATTCCAATGCTCACACCAACGCTTAATTTTATTGCTCTTCAGCACGTTCCATTGACTGGGAAAAATGCAGGCAACCACTGTGCACACCGACACTCAGAAACAGCGAGCAGGTGGACGGAGAGGAACTCACATGCCTCACAGCACTTAAAGTTTTTCATTTAAAGTTTTTGAAAGGTAGTAGTTCTCACCAGCAGTCGCCCCCGACCCCGATACCGCCCCCTCTATGCAAAAGCTTATCGATTGGCATAGCGACACAGGCAGCAAGGACCTCACCGTATGCAACGGAATTTTTATTATATCCTTTCAATGGCAGTTGCCATTGAGCGAGCTCTCAGGCACCCGACCCTGTCCCCAGTTCCCATTCCCAATCCCTTTCCCCCCTGCCCTCACTAAAGGTTAGGGCCAACCACAATTTATTGATTAATATTAACTGCCCTCGACAAGCAGAAATTTGTGCTAATAAAAAGCAAACGCGTCCTTGCCGCAATTGTGGAGAGGGCTGCCAAGGATCTGCTCTTTAATTGCGCAATTGGGCGTTAACTGCCAGATTGACTCATTGACAGACTAAGGAGGAAACCGACGAGAGTGCCAATGCCGGTGGCAATTTTTGTTTTTATCGTAAGTGAGTTTTCCTCGGGGCGCTGGAGACGATGACGGTGATGCACTTCATTGAGCAAAAATGCAAACAGCCAGCGAAAAAGGAATAAACAAGGAACAACAGGATGAACCCAAGCAAGCGATGGAGGTGCACTCAAGCCTGAGCAAACATATTTGGCTCAGTCTATTTGTGTATTCCGAAGACGCAAGAAACAGATATGCCAGAGTCACGGATATTCCTTTTTGAAAAACAAACAGACGTTGCAAATTGACAAGAGCCACAGCACTTGAAACCAATTAACAAAATATTCGATGTACAAAAAGGGACAAACAGCTGCCGCCCAGGAGTTATCTCTAATTTAGAATTTCGTATGTCAATCGATCGAAATTGTAGATATCGAAGACGGCGTTGCTGTGTCGGCACTTTTGACAGCTTTCTGGCTTTTATGGCATCTGGCTAAATGCGTCTTGTTTGCCAACTGTCAGCCAACTCAGCTCAAGCCCCACATGATGTGTTGGATGGGCTTTGGCTTCGAATTTCGACGGAGCGAAGGTGTCCAGCCAACAAGTTGCTTCAATAATAGAAATATTCCTGAGAAAAACAAAAGTTCTAAATAAAATTCAGAACGTCTGTACCGCCAAAATAAGAAAAACGGTGGAAATGTTTTTAAACAGAGAATTTTCAGACCAAAAGCACTAAAACTTTTAATCAAAAATCCACAAAAAATATTTTATATATTCTGGTATTAAATATAATATTTTTTCGAATGTCTAATCCAAAGCAATTCAAGCAGTTTTGTTTAATTTATATACGACTTGAGTTTTTATTAAGTTTCATGGTAATGCACTATTTTGGTTAATTGTATTTTCCCCCAATAACAAGACAAAGTTATGCAAACGGGCGACAAAGAACTCACATTTTTCATGCCACAAAATATATTTTTAATTTGTTCCGCAAAGAAACACAAGATAGGATTGACCCCCATTGCAAGTCTTCTTGTTTTTTGTGCACATGCTCAGCTGCTGCAAG